TGATGTTATAAAACCGTTTTTATTTCTTATTGTTTTTTATATTTTGTGATATTTTAAGTTAAATATAAATCGTGTGGTCATGTTAATAACAGACATCTACAAATGGTCGATTCTTATTAACATACCTCAACAGACTGATAGATGAGAGTGAGGAAACCAATTAAAGTAGAAATTAAGAAGGAAATAATTTATACCAATTTTGGTAACACAGGTTTTGCCTTCATTTTTTTATAAGACATGAGAATCAACAATTTGTATCATGCTCAAAAACAAAAGATGAATTAAAATGGTATTCTGGTGCTGAAGAGAATAAAAAACTAATAGAGGCTTTTGAAGAGATGGAAAAACAAAAATTTTGGTATGGTTTAAAGAAAAAGAAATTGTCAGTAACACTATGAATGAATAGATGATTTATGCAAAAGCCAAACAGTTGTCGAATGATGTTAGACCTAATGTTAAAATTTTTCTTTCTTATATATTGTTGGGGCCACTCACCTTCTCATCAGAATGGACTGATCTCTCTACTACTAATAGGACAGTTCTATAGAGTTCTGGGAGATCAGGTGACCATCACATTTCCGTCTCTCTACCGGAAGATACAGTTGGACTTTATACTCTTTCTGATTGTTACTGACTAACCTGCGTTCGTTTGACTACTAATCTCTCTGTTGTAAATACCTCTTTAGATATACCAGTATTTTTCCCTACGTATGTGTTTGTCCTTATTTCAATACACACAGGGGGAAACACTCAACATCTCATATACATATATATATATACATATATATATATACATATATATATATATACATATATATATACATATATATATATACATATATATATATATATATATATATATATATATATATATATATATATATATATATATATATATATATATATATATATATATATATATATATATATATATATATATATATATATATATATATATATATATATATATATATATTGTGTTTTTAGGCAGCATCTTTTCATTCATACACATTTCATTAAATAATATAGACAAGTGTTGTCTATTTATTTTATGTAAATTTTTTTCGTAACGTCTGATAAGTTTAATAACATTATCGTTGAACGAAGAAAGAAATTCACAATATTGGTCCATATTTTTTAATACAATCTAAGCTTTCGGCTTACATAAGCCATTATCAAAGATGTCAATTACAATATATTAAGCAATATACGGACAAGGCAGTGATGATAGTCTGTCATTGTTTAGATAGATGATTTCTAAGCAACGATAAACACATGCATATAAGACGCTAGAAGCAAAAATCGCACCGCATCTCATGACGTCACACATGACCACACGAGAGTGAATTGGAGAAGTATGAAATATGGAAAGCCGTTGGTATAAACCAATGGCTTCTGTTATCAACTACAGACATTTAAGAATATTTGTAGAGATGCCATAATTAATTTTGTTTAGGTTGGGTTTCAAGTGTTTGATGTATAATGCTTCAAGGATTTTTAGTTTTTGTCTATTGTCTTCATGTCGAAGTATAATTGTGTTTTCGACAAGTATTTTACGGAATTATGTGTGCGGGCAAAATCAATTCAATGATAATGTTATTAAATTTATCAGACGTTATGAAAAAAAATTTACATAAAAATGGCCAGTCTGTGTAAAGCATGCCTGATCAGACTGTGCTTTCTCGTACAAAGGGTGATGTAGGTTCAAACCCTGCTGGTGCCAGAGGGCTACATTTGCTTTAAGTCTAAAATGCACAAGATGTAATTCAGATTGTTTAAAAAACAAAAAATCATCTACTCAAACATGGGTATCAACAAAATAATGTTTGGAATAGTAGGATTATATATATTTCTAAAAAAGTAATGGATTTTTTTAATTTATTAATTCAACAAATTTTATTACTTAAATCTCATTTTTTAGTAGATTTTACCCATATTTGAGTAGACACTCCATTTGTCTATTAAACAGTAGATTTATTTATTTTTGTCTACTGGCAGGAATATTCAAGAAATCTTAATTTTCTTTAACAAGTTTTGCATATTTTTTCTTTAATAAATTTAAATGTATTGTTAGATAAAGCTTAATTTAATATAAGGACCTAGTTGACTAAACAAGTGATAAAGTTTTAGAGAAAATGGTAGCAAAAAGGAAACTTATACTTAATGTCAAGAAGAGACAGCTGAAATTTCTAGGGCACATAATGAGGAAAGAAGGTTCAGAAAATCTAATACTCACAGGACAGAATGAAGGCATTACTTAGTGAGTTTGAGTAAATGCATGGTGGTTTGGTTTGGTCTGGTTTTGTTTGGTTTACGGTGTATCAACCTCAATGGGTTATTTAATGCCAACAAAATTTTTATTGCTGGTAATAAGTTTTTCTTCAAAAATCTATTTCTGGGAATATTTTTCCTTGAAGAAATCTATATTTGGTAATATTTTTTTCAAAAAATGTATAGCTGTTTGTATTGCTGGTATTTTTTTTTTTTTAAGTATTGCTGATAATAATAATAATTTTTTTTTTAATACAGAGTATTTCTGGTATTAAAACCTATTTTTACACAAGTTTAGGTGTTAACTATTTGCCCATAGCTGGGACCCTAACAGGTGTTACCACCCTGGGTCAGGGTGGACCTGGGAACACCAGCAATTAAGAGGTGGTTTCACACTCCTCAAAACCTCCTGATCAGAGGCCTTGCGGTTGGACGTAGTTTGTTGTTTAACCCAGGATGCAGATGTAGTTTAAAATGGATGGTGGAAAAAAGGATTTAGGAGAAATAACAAAAAGGGGAAAAATTTATTAAGAGACATGGTACATAAAAAAAGAATTCTGACTGGCTTTAAAAAAAAACGTTTTGATGAAGTCTGTAATCTGACAGATCAGATTGTGATTGGGAATGCAGATAAGAGAACTGGTTTAAAATTTTATAATTTATAATCAAATGTTGGTCAGTTTTAAATAGAAAAAACACTCTTTTAAAGATTTTACATAAAATAAATTATAGGATCAGAGATTCACTAAAGAAAAGAAAAAGCAAGAAAATCTGAATTGCATTTATTTACACTGAAACTAAAACCCTGCTGTTTTTGAGGCATGGATACATGGAAAGTGAAGTTAATTTATTCAATTTGAATTTGACAGCAATTTTTAAGTTAAAACAGTGAGCATTATATATTAGGAATATATGTATATAAAAAATAGAAGTGAAGGATTTTATACACTGATGGAAGATTAGTAAAATATAATCAAATAAGTAGGGATTCTTTTTAAAGTGACCCTACATAAAAAAAAAAACAAAACAAAATTAGCACAGCAAATCTTTCATAAACATGGCCTTTTTAAACTGTTTGTAAAATTACACACAACGTACCAAGTAATAAAGAGTATAGACTTTCCTGCTGTGTAGGCAGATTTAAATGCAAACCAGAATTAGTTTAATGGTGAACTTAAGGCTATAGTCTATCAACCTAGTATATACTAATTGTGGCTGTTATAATTATAGTAATAAAAATGAAAAAAAAAAAAAAAACTTGTCATAGCATAGAAAAATAAATGCAGTTTTAGTGAAATGAAATGTTGAATCTATATTGAAAATATTGCCGGAAAGGAAAATGAATATCAAAGAAGTCAATTTTATTGTTCTCTTTCATTAATAATGTTTTTTTTTCTTATATTCTCTCACACTCAATAACCCCTTGCATCTTAATGGCTTTATTGCCTTGCTTGGGATGAAATGATTAAAAAAATAAAGTATGAAAATGTGTTCTAATTAATGGTAGTAAAACCAGCAAACATTAATTCTGTAAGGCTGTTGAAGTATGTTTTTAACTAACTTGACAAATATCTTGTTCTCTTTTTGGGATGAAATATTAAAAAGAAAAGAAAAGACAAGATTTGATTGGTGGAGGTGACAAGTTAATCATTCTTACAGTAGAGAGCTAGAATATTCAAAGACTTTAATCTTTAGGGACATAATTTTTTTTTTTTTTGCAAATTTGGACCAAATCCAGCAAAAAAAAAAAAAATAAAAAAAAATGGTGTATCAAAAGGATAGTTTTCCCCTTGACACCACTGTTACTTTAACTACCTTCACTCCTCAGCAATGTTTATTGTTTTAAAAAGTGATGATTAGAATTGCAATAAAACCTAAACATATAATGAAAGTGAATTTGTTATTTTTGTTCTTGAGAATTGGCAACTAAAATAATAAACTGTTTATTAGATTGTTTATTTACACTATTATTTGTTGGAATGGTTGACAAACATTGGCTAATTGCCAAATGATTTGAATTTTATAAGGAATTGTTTCATATTTATTTCTTTATAAATTGGTAAATGCATTGCATTAGTTTTAATTGTATTAGTTTTTAGAATGTTGTAACTGTAAAAATATACTTGTAACTAATCAATCTAAAAAATAAATAGGGTTTAATATTTTTGTTTGTCAATTTTCAAGAACAAAAAAATATAAATTCCCATTCATCATATGTTCGTTTTATTGTAAAACCATCATTTCTCAGTAATGTTTGTTTTTAAAAGCGAAGGTATTTAAAATAATGTCAAGTGTCAAGGTAAAAAACCGTCCTGTTGACATAGTTTTTTTTGTGGGCAACAAGTTCTAAGCTCAGCATTTTTGTTTTTTAAAACTTCCTATTGATGATTGTTTTATGAAAAGGCTGCTGTACTGAAAAAACCTGGCAGAAGCCAATCGCAACAATACAAAAATAGTAAGAAAATAGTTTTCATGGAGGTGACACTAATCAATTAAAAGTTCAAAGTGTACTTCTCCAATCTTTTGCACACTGCTATGTTGTATGTTTTTTGCCCACACCTTGCATGTAATCATCAATAATACACCATTGACTGGATCTTCAAACTGGACAAATACCAGAGGCGAACGGTAGCCTTGTTGATTGAGATAAGGAAAATACTTATATTCAAATCCAGCTGAGGGATAATAAGCAAGAGGACCCATGTTTTCTCTGTCTGCAGGAAGCTCACCATCACATGAAACCGTAATGTAATATTTCTGGTAGCGGTCTTTAATCTCCTCGGGGACAGTGCCGTTATCATACAACTCTGGTTCCCAGTTGAAGATTTTATTCATTTTGAGAAGAATACATGGGATTCCATCATCGTAGCCATAGTTCTGTTGTTTTACACAGTTGACTCCAAGTTTGATCAAGTCAAAACGACAAACCTTGTTCCGAAGATCCCTTCGGGTCTTAATGGCATCGCAATCAGCAAAATTTTCACCCTGCAAAGAGAAAAGGGATTAATCTTTTTAGTGGATACAAGATACAATCTAAAAATATTTTCTGGCTTTAAATAACCTGCAAAAGGTTGGTAAGCCATAAAAAACAAAATCAATATAGCAACACTTGCATCTGAAACAAACGTAAAAAAAAAAAAAAAAAAAATGTAAGAATTTCTGAAGATAAGGATTTATTGATACAGCTCCTACTAATTAACCCATAGCCTGGAGGGGAAAAAGAGCTGCCTTTCATAAGGGTATTTGCATGTAAGTGAATATAATGAACATGACTGAAATTAGAACTTGGCTTTTTGATTTTGAATTCCTAGCCAATATTCATTACACCACGTGCACACCCAAGCTTATAGCATTTGGTATTCTCAGTCACCCATCTAGATACTGACCAGGCTTGATGTTGCTTAACCAGTGATCATACAAGAACTGGGGTTTCAGAGGGATATAATCATAAGGCTTAAGTGTTTTTGATTATACAGGTATATCTCACCCTATGTTGTTAATTGGTTCCAGAGGTCATGACTTAGGTTGAAAATGACTTAAGTTGAAATAAGTACACTGCAGACTGCAAATAAGCACTCCATATTGCATATTACAGTATTCATGATAAGTACATACAGTATTCTGAATAAAATTATCAGCAGTATAGCCTTACGCTTAGTATTAGCAATGAAGAAACAGTCTGGCAATTTTTCCCAACGTTAAAAATCTGTGCAGGAAGAAACTTGTTTTCTTCAATGATCGTAGCCAGGAAAATTGACTGTTGCTTGTTTGTCAGCTGATGCACTTTCACCTTGCTTCTTAATAGAGTGATAACTTCTTTGTTTTTTAAATCTTATAAACCAACCTTGACTAGTTTAAACACATTTCCCATCTGGGTATTTTTTTTCATGTCCTAAAACAAAGACAGTGCTTTCGTTTGAATGATTTCTTGACTAATATCAGCATGCTGATGGTTCAACCTATCAATCCAAAGAGAAAGAATTTGTTCCATCTCTTCAAAGATGTTTTCTCTTTTCTTATAGATAACAGTATTTTTCATCCCTAGCGTATCAGATTTGATATGTGCCAAAATCTTATCCTTATTGTGAACAAATGTTGCTACAGTTGTTTGACTCATTCCAAAAGGTCAAGCAATCGATAAACCCTTTTCACCTTTTTCATGGCATTTTATCATAGTAAGTTTATTGTCCAGCGTTATAGCATGATGCTTAGCACTTGCACTAGGAATTTTCTTAGGGGCTATTGGGACAAAATATAAAGTCACAAATGGATGAGAATGAGAGAGTATGCAATAAGCAGACATATAACGTACACATGCCTAAACTAAACCAGATTTCAATTTTGTGAGAATCATGAGTGGTGCTGACAATGATGCCAAATTGTAGATATTGGAACTACCATGGAAAATGTGAATATTGAACTCTTAAAGATCTCTAAATAAGATGACAAGGCAATCACAGATGTTTTCATAGTTCATTCTCCAGGATTTATGATTATATTAACATTTACTGTAAATGTACCTATTTTAATATGATTTTATATACTTTTATTCTTATTTATTGTACAATAACATGATTTTATGTACTTTTAATGTTTTTCTAGTGATATTATGACTTCAATATTTGTGGTGGACAGATATAAAGTTGAATAAAATGACTTAAACTTGATTTTTATTTTTCCATATATTTCTTTTGACAAACAACGTATAATCAAGAATGACTTAACTCAAAACGATGTAACCCAATGTATTAGCATTTAAGTTTTATGCACAGTGGGAAGTGCATAAGAACAGGTGGCTAGAGTGTGTTGGTGGGGGAGTGTGTGCTGCCTGGTGCACCCTTGAGTTTGTCTCACCCCTATACCAAAATACAATATATTGTATAGTGACTCCCTCTTTATTATCTGTGTGTGTGTGTGTGTATATATATATATATATAATAGAAATCTAAAATTTACCTCATTCAAATAGCTATTTCTACCAACAAGACTTGTTGACTTTGTCAACTCAGAAGTGTGAAGAAATAAAATAGATAAAATTTAAACATTCAAAAAATAAAAAAAAGAGAAAAAGAAAAGAAAACAAGAAAAAGGAAAAAAGAAAGGGAGAAAGAAAAACAGAAAGGAAGTGGGAGGCTATTGATGAAAACATAGCCATTAAACAAAATCTCAATATCATGGGAGGGGAAGTGGAAGTGTCTGGTTCAATGAGACAGTTAAAATAACCTTGATCAATATTTTAAAATATTAACATCCCAAGTCAGGCTGAAACAGAATCACAAAATTAAAGACATGAGTTCAAACAATTTTAAAAATTAAAATAGAAAATAGTAAATATTTTTAAATCAAAGAACAAAAAATATATTTCCTTTTTTTAAGAAAAAAAAATTCCAAATCTATGCTCACCAAAAATAAGAAAAATAATAACCATAAATAGATAGTTTATATAAAGAAAAATTACACAAAAATATTTAAAATTTAAGATTTTTTTAACATCTAAAATTAAAAAAGAAGAATTTATAAAAAATATTATATATATATATAAAATAAATTAAAAACCAAATAAATAATAATTAAAAGAGTATTAAGAACAAAAATATATATCAGAGTGTGCAGCATATATTTTATATCATAAAGAAACAATTTATTATAATTTATACAAAGAATTAAATAGAAATGTTAATGTGATTAATGGCGAAATCACTTTGCTAACAGGACTTAATGAGACATTAACTTACTATTAATTCCTTGAATAATAAGATATTTATATTCAAGTTGTTGTCAGATGAAAAATACATGCCAAGTAGTTCTGTGGAAAACTACCAACACATTTTTACTCTACTAAGTAGACCACCTCTGACCCGTTGAGTCAACCTTGTTATATTTACTGTTTACATTTTGTTTTGTGAAGACTTTGTGAAAGTAGAGATATTTTAAAAATACATTTATTTGCAGTTATTGAAGTTGCTTTCAACATTAAAAAATTGACTGTTTGAAGAAAGTTGAACAATAAAAGCTTGGAATGTCAAAATTCGGAATGTTGGGATTCAATACAATAACATAAAATATTGTTGTGGCGCTGCACGTAATTTGTCTGTTTTGAATAATCAAAGAATTTTCATTGAAAGAATAAAATTCAGTAGAAAAGACAATGTTGGTTGGTTGGGTTTTATGGCATATCAACCGCTGTAGGTCATTTAATGCTAAATTTAGTTTTTTTTTCTCTTCTCCCCCCTACTTGTCAGTGTGTTTGACTATCGTAACACATTTATTTTTGTCCTAATCATTCTAACCTAACTTATAATCCTATTTGATGGCTTAGTTAGAAATCCTGGTTCGAAAGAAAAATCAAAAAAGGGAAAATTGAATGTCTTTGGCAAGATGCGAAAGTGTCTTGTCAGTATTCTCATGATCTAGTTGGTCGAATTTTCTTGCTAGATAAAATGTCCAAACATGGAATTGTTTTTGCTGTTTCTTTCTCCTGTTGTTCTTAATTTTGTTGAAAGCATGTCTCCCAAGCCCACTGTTGGTAGGGGCGGAGGATTGGCTGTTGATTCCCCCCCACCACCACCACCAGCTCTGCGTTTCATTGAAACCCTATGCTTGGAGTTAAGGTAAGCCGTACATTCACTGGTTATCATGAGAAAGAAAGCGGACAAACACTCGCTGCCACGTATGATGTGGCATTTATTATGACATATCAACAACGCCAGATAACCTTATTTTCTTCAATTTCCTTTTTTTTTTTAAGAATAGGACAATGGGACTTATACTAAGTTAAAACTTAGTGTTGTCAAAGGGTAAAATCCAAGTGTCAGCCTGGACACTTTGCCAACTACCTTCCCCTCTTATCCTTCCCTTTGTTTTTGTCGTTCTTGTATGTGTTATATGTAATAGGAGGAAGTAGGCTTTTCTACCATCTGGTCAACACTCCTTCCCCTTCTCTTGGACATGAGTAGAGGCTAACCCCTGGTTTCTTGTTTAGGAAGGGGTTCTCGGTACTCTCTCTCACTCTCTCTGGCCTCTGTACTAGTGCAGCTCTGTTTCTCCTGTGATGTGTGCAGTCTGTGGCATCACCTCTTCATTCTGAGGGTACATGGTTGACAGTTCTCTGGTTTCTGTTTCTGACTGGTAGTTAGGAGCCCTAACTCTTGCATAGCGTCTTGAGCGGCCGCTCTGATCAACTGTTGTATAATATCGGGGTGTTTGTAGTGCCATGTCGTGCATGGAAAGGTGTCCCTGCAGTCACATTCGGTGGGCAACCCTGAGGCCACATTATGATGCTCTGCCCATGTCACGGTCGATAACTTTCTGCTTCTTTTACATCGGGCCTTCTCATCTTCCAACCATAATTCACATGATGACTTACAAAGACTGAAAAAGTAATCCTAAACCAACCCCTCATAAATCACCTAAACCCCTCAACATTTCGTTCTCCAACATCTGTGGCATTAGAACAAACTTCTGCAGTATGGAATCTTTCCTCACTGCAAACTGCCCAGATATACTGGCTCTCTGTGAGACCAACCTTGTCTCATCTGTCCCCTCCTCTGATCTCTCGATCACAGGCTACCTTCCTCTCCTCAGAAAAGACTCTCTAACCCACATGCACGGCCTTGGTGTCTACATCAAGGACCATCTACCTCTGGCCAGAGAGTTGTCTCTCAAGTCACCAGACCAGTCATACATCTGTCCCCGTCTATCTCTTCTCAATGCGGTAAGCTATCTCTTCTTCCTTTACTGCTCTCCATCCTCTCAAGACTGTGGGATACTCAATAGCATTTCGGACAGCAAAGACAAGGCTCTCTCCCACCACCCTTTTGCTCACATATTTGTGTTTGTCAATTTTAACGCCCATCATACCAAGTGGCTTAAGAATGCTACTACTGACCACGTTAGGCATTTAAACACTTAATTTTTCAGTTTCTCAATCCCTCATGCAGATAGATCGAGAAGAGAGGCCTTACCTTCCTGGTTGAAGGCAAAAC